CCAGGTTCGAGGCCGGATCCTGGAGCCTGGCCCCTGGCGGAGCGGCCGGGTTCCGACCCTCGGTCTCAACCTTTCCCAGGACGAGGGGATTGTAGTTCCCGTCTCGAGGGCAGCGGGAGGTCTCTGAGCCTCGGTTTCCCTATCTGTGAAACTGATCATCCCAGCGTCAATCCAATAGGGCTGATTCTGGCGGTGGCCCCTGAGAGTTTCAGGCACACAGTAGGCGGTCAGTAAGTGACTAGTGTCCTTCTTCAACCTTCTTCTTAAAGGGGTTCTGCCTGAAAAATAGTAAATAACGGTGAACCAGGCACCCTGTAGAAAGGACATGCTTAGCAGAGTGCCTGGTTGTTAGTGGGCGCTCGAAACAGAATTTATATGATTGGCTCATTTACTCTTCTAGGGACCGTAATAGATGCAAGTATTAGAAATGTTCCCTGTTATTCAGAAGAGGAAATCGAGGCTCAGAGCGGTCAAGGTTTTGCCCAGTGCTACACAACAAATAAGACCAGGACTGGGCTTTGAACCTGACCTCCAGTGCAGGGCCTGGGAATTACTGAAGGGCACATAGGAGCAGGAGCCTCTCTATGGTGAATGAAGAGGAATGAATGCATTTCACAGGCTCTACATTTATTTTTTTTAAAGGTGAGCATTTATCGAGCACTTACTGTGTGCCACCCTGTGCCTTGTCTCATCAAACCCTCTCAACAACTCTGTATGTAAACTGATGATGGCAATTATAATAAGAGGTAATATTTATTGACTCTTTTTAACTTTAAAAACATGTATTGATTTGAGAGAGACATTGATTTCTTCTTCCACTTATTTATGCATTCATTTGTTGATTCTTGTATGTACCCTGACCAGGGATCCAACCCGCAATCTTTGCGTAATGGTATGACGCTCTAACTAACTGGGCTGTCCAGCCCAGGGCCTGTTTATTGACTTCTTAATATTTATGGAATTTTGAGCTGGGTATCATTTTGACTACTATTTTTCAGATGAGTAAACCAAGGCCAGAGACCAAAGCAGCTGGCCTGAGCTCACACTGTGGGGAGTTAGGGCCCTCTGACTTCTTTTCCTTTGGTTTCCTTCTTTCAGTAAAGGAGACTGGAGCAGATATGGAAAGGCTGTGGTGCCATAGTGCCACCGAGACAGGCCTAGCCAAGGGCAAGCTCCACTGGAGGAACTGAGCCTCAGCAGACACAGTCCACCAACTCCAACTTATTTGACAGAGAAGGATGAGGCCCAGAAAAGCAAAGGGACTTGTCCCAGGACACACATCATCAATGACAGAGTCAGGACTTGAAAAAACCCAGGTCTTTTTGAGTCCCAGACCCACTCACTGTACTAACTTTTTTTTAAAATTAATCCTCACCCGAGGATATTTTTCCCATTGATTTTTAGAGAGAGTGGAAGAGATGGGGAGAGACAGAGAGAGAGAAATATCCACTGATTGGTTGCCTCCCACACGGGCCCTAACAGAGGCAGGTGATCGAGCCTGCAACAGAGTGTCCTTGACCATAATAGAACCTGTGACCCTTCAGTCCATGGGCTGATGCTCTAACCATTGAGAACCAGCTAGGACTGGACTAACTTAATTCTGGCACTGTGCCTTCTTAGCTTTGTGACCTTGAGCAAGTAACTGCCCCTCTCTGAGCCTTAGTCACAAATGGGGGTAATTATTGGACTTACTTTGTGGGTCTATTGTGAAGATTCAGTGAAATCTATCTCTAGAGCACTGAACCAAGTTTGCCATAGACACTGGCTTCCTTTCCCATCCCAGCAGCCATTCTATCCTTGTGTCCAGCCTTGAGTTTGGTTTCTTCGGAGCCCAGACCTCTGTGGTTTGCAAAGACCTCTAGCCTCTAAACATCTGATTCCCTCCATGGGCACTGGCAAATCAAGAGACCTTGTTCTTTTTTCCTTTCTTTTTCTGAAATGTTTTTATTGATTTTAGAGAGAGGGAGAAACTTTCCCTCTTTATGTGCCCTGACCTGGGACTGAACCCGCATCCCAAGTATATGCCTTGACCGGGAATCGAACCAGCAACCTTTCGGTGCACAGGATGACGCTCAACCAACTGAGCCATGGTGGCAGGGCGGGACCTTGTTCTTAATAACACAGGTCTGCTCTTACACAGAGTAGGGACAGAGAAATTAATGTAGCCACTCTATGCCAGACACAGGGTCAGGTGCTGGGGACAGCAGAGAGCAAGTCCAATTCAGTCCCTCCTTTATAGAGCTCCCTAAAGCGTGGAAGACAGAAGTGGTTACACAAGTAGATGAAGAAATAAGAGCATCTCAGAGTGGGGCACATTCTGTGAGGGCAATAATGTGGACATCAATGTCACTTTAGCCAGGATGGTCAGGGAAGGCCTCTCTGGGGAGGTGACCTTTGAAGGGGACACTTAACTTTTTAGAGTTCAGTGAGCTTAGCACAGTACTAGTATGTATTAAGTCCTTAATAAAGAGTAACTACTGTTATTATTTTGGCCATTTGCAGGCCTTACATTAGCAGATATACCAGTGAGTTTTCCCCCCTGATAGTAAAAGAAATAGTAGAACTAATATATTGGAGCTGTGATTATTCTTGTAATACCCAATTCCTTGCAGGAATGTTAAGGTCGATCCTTGGAGGGGCAGGAACATTCTCTTGCTGACCTCTGGGCCAGAAGTTCTGATTGTAGGCACATGGAAGGGACAGCAGTATACACAACATGGCAGGCCGCTCGCTGCCCTTCAGCTATTATCTCAGTCAGGCACCCTTCCTCTTGGCTCCTTCTGCCTCTGGCTCATACTGGTTGGCCTTGCTGTGGAGGCTCAGAAGGGCATGTTGGGCTAGGATAATGCTGGTCGAGCTGTTCAGAGGGCAGTGATCCACTGGCAGACTATTCTGGTGCAAAAAGTTAGTCAATAACTTATGCTGCTTTCCTCTGACTCTGTCTCTTTGGGTTTCAGATTTTAATGGCAGGAATTGGTTAAAGCTGACCGTGGGGTACATCAGTGAGTATTTCTGGGGTCTCTGGCTCAAAGCTCCTGAGATAAAGGGTGAGACAACTGGGAGACAGATCCTTAGCTTCAGGGCGCCTGTACTGACCTCCACAGGCATCAAGAGGGGGCGTCTAGTACTTTCACGGAATTCTCAGAGGGAAACACGTACATCTTCTGGCTGGTTCTGGAAGGGACAAGGGGGTTGCCAAGGGTTCCTTCTGGCAGGTTAGACCCTGGACTGGGGGGCCAAATCCTGCTAAAGTCACCTACCCAGAGCTGAGTTCAGATTGCTGTCTGAAGTTCCAGCTATCTCCCATGGCTTCACCTCCGGAACAGAGGCATGGCTTAGAGCAGCTGCTCTGGTGGGGACAGAGGCTGCCAAGGTCCTCCCCAGTGTGTGCCACTTCCTTGTTGGCCTGAAGTGCCAAGGAGTTCTGAGCTGTACAAGAGGCCATGAACCAGATGGGTCAAGGTGATTCACCATCCTTGTCTGTGGGGCCAAATTACTAGCGCTGTTCTGCCCCACTCAGAGGTAGGTTTATCTGTTCTGAACCCAGTCCTAGGAATTCAGTCCACAGAGAACCATTCTCCATATGATTGGTGGGCATGGTTCTGGCATTGGAAAGCCCCAAGTAAAGGGCATGCCACACAGTAGGTGCTCAGTAATTGTTAGATGCTGTTAAGGTGAATTTTGGGTAGCCTGGAAGCTCTGAAGGCTGGACCAGGCTGGCTTTTTTTAGGAGAGTTAGAGGTCATATAACCAAGTCCTTGGTATGTGCTAGGCCTGGGCTGAGTTGCATGTGTGATCTTTTTGAATCTTCACAATCCCTACAAAGCCCTATCTTACAGATTGGGCAACTGAGGCTGAGAGAGCTGAATTCAAACCCTGATCTGTGTCCTACTCACTAACTTACACAATAAAAAACTTACATCTTCCCTTCACCTCCCTGCTGGCTTTTCCCCAGGCTCCTGGGACAATGGGCCTCAGGCCCTGAGGACGTGGTGCTTCTTGTGGCCATGACGACGGGTGACTGCTGCCACCTCCCTGGCTCCCTATGTGACTGCTCCGGCAGCCCTGCCTTCTCCAAAGTCGTGGAGGCCACAGGCCTAGGGCCACCCCAGTATGTGGCACAGGTGACTTCAAGGGATGGCTGCCTCATCTCAACTGTCATCCGGGTCTTGGACACTCCGAGGTGAGTGGTGACCGAGCCGGTGTATTTATCGCCACTCACTTCACTCCCGGGCCCAGTGGTTTCCTCCCAGACCGTGGTCAGAAATCGACCATCTGGATGGGTCAGAGAAAGGATCCCAGGCTGGGAAGGTCTGATTCTTCAGGAAAGGCCAGAAGTCCAGTTTATTATATGAAATCGGAAGATGAAATGTGGCAAGTAGCTCGTATTTTGGAGAGGTGGTGTGAGGAAATGGTTAGAAGTGCAGAGGGTGACTCTCAGCACCTGGGCTGAAATGCTGAGGGGAGCCTTCCCTCCCTGTGAGACCTGGGGCAAGTTGCTTTACCCCCATATCTCTAAACTGGAGACACAATTGGGTTGTGCTGAGAGTACGTTGCTGTGATCCACACAGAGTGCACACAGGTAGGTTTACCACCTCGCCCACATTTGATAAATGTGTTTAAATCTTGGTGCTGGCCTTCCAGACCCATCTGTGAGCTAAATCTGCCTCGTTCGCCAATTTGTCATCAGTTCCAAGGAAAGAATTAAAAAAAACAAAACCATACAAATTTAAATCTACCTGAATTCATTCAAATTTAAAATAGCCACCAGTTTTTCAAGTTTAATGTATTGTTTATTTGATATGATTTAATGCGTAAGTTTTCCCCCCCAATTCTTTTATTGTGTTAAAATATACACAACATAGCCTAGCCCATGTAGCTCAGAGGTTGAGTGTCGACCTATGAACCAGGAGGTCACAGTTTGATTCCCAGTCAGGCACATGTCCTGGTTGCAGGCTCAATTCCCAGGGGTGTGTGTGCAGGAGGCAGCTGATCAGTGATTCTCTCTCATCATTGGTGTTTCTATCTCTTTCTCCCTCTCCCTTCTTCTCTGAAATCATTATATATATATATATATATGTATATATATATATAT